GAACAAAGAGTGTGGAAGACTATTTCCAGGAGATAGAACGGCTTATGCTAAAAGCCGATATAGAAGAGTCGGAGAATGCTACCATGGCGCGTTTCTTGAGAGGTCTGAACCGTGACTTGCAGAACCGAATGGAGTTGCAGGAATATGTAAACATGTCCGAGATGCTACACAAGGCTGTGTTGGTGGAGCAACAGCTTAAGAGGAAAGGCGTTTCTCGGCCAACTTATGGTTCCAGTTTGCGGCCCAGCTATCGAGACGAAAAGCCAAGCTATCAGCCGAGGTCCGATTTGAAGTCCAACCCGGATCTCAAGCGCAGTTCATCCGCATCGAAATACAAAGGCAAGACCGAGGCTAATCCGGTCAGAAGCAGAGATATTGAATGTTTTAAGTGCCGAGGCAAAGGGCTCTACGCCAACAGGTGTCCGAACCAGCGGGAATGATTTTACTTGACTCGGACGAGATTGTATCAGATGGCGAGAAAGATACTAGACCAGTTTTTGACGATGATGAGGAGCATGCAGCCAAAGCTGAAATACTCGTATCCTGACGAGTTTTGCTAACTCAGGAACCGGTCAAGGAAGAAGAACAGTGGGAAAAATTTTTCCATACCAGATGTGTTGCTCAGGGAAAGGTGTGCAGCCTTATCACAGACGGTGGGAGCTGTACGAACGTTGCTAGCACTATCTTGGTGGAGAAATTGAACTTTGTCACTCGGAAACATCCGCAGCCATACAGCCTTAGGTGGTTAAACAATCAGAGACAGTTGAAGGTTACTAAGCAGGTTTTGGTGCTTTTAGCCATTGGCCGATATGAAGATGAAGTGGTGTGTGATTTGTTACCCATGGAGGCCGGCCATATATTACTCGGGAGACCATGACAGTATGACCGGAGGACAGTACACGACGGCTTTACCAACAAACATTCCTTCGAGTTCAAAAGCCGGAAGATTACCCCTGCACTATTATCACCCGCGAGGTTTATTTAGACAAACTCAGACTCGAGCAGAACAGCAAAGGAAAATCCGTTGTGAGTGATCCCCAAAACACTCTTTCTACTAAATCTGAGAGTGAAAGTTCAAGGAAAACCCAGCAAATGGCTTTTGAAAGTGAACCCGAGAGGTCATACACTTCTTTATTCGTGAGGCCGAGTGAGATTAAACACGTCTTGCTTTCTAGGCAGCCTTTCATCCTTCTCTTGTTTAATGATGCTTTGACTAGCATATCTGACTCAGATCCGGTTCTTCCGAGCAGTATTTTATCTGTTTTGCAGAAATTTTCCAATGTGTTCCCAGAAGACAAGCCTGGCGGCTTACCACCAATCCGAGGGATCAAGCATGAGATTGATATTGTGCCTGGAACCTCATTACCAAACCGGCCAGCTTACAGAACCAATCCAGTTGAAACAAAGGAGCTTCACAGGCAGGTTGGCAAGCTTATAGAGAAAGGCTATATCCGGGAAAGCATGAGTTCATGTGCTGTACCCGTTTTGCTTGTGCCAAAAAAGGACAGAACCTGGAGGATGTGCGTAGACTGTCGGGCCATCAACAACATCACAGTTAACTACCGCCATCCCATTTCCAGGTTAGAGGATATGCTCGATGAGTTACATGGGTCTAGTGTGTTTTCAAAAATTGACTTGAAAAGTGGTTATCACCAAATCCGGATGAAGGAAGGTGATGAGTGGAAAACCGCTTTCAAAACCAAACACGGTCTGTATGAATGGCTTGTCATGCCATTTGGTCTTACTAATGCACCCAACACTTTCATGCGTTTAATGAACCATGTCCTTAGGTCTTTCATAGGTGTCTTTGTTGTAGTGTATTTTGATGATATTTTGATTTACAGCAAGACTCTAGATGATCATGTGGGACATTTGCGACAAGTTCTAGAGGTGCTTGGGCAAGAAAGACTTTTCGGCAACTTTAAGAAATGCTCTTTTTGTACAGATAATTTTTGGGTTTTGTGGTTAGTTCACAGGACATACAGGTGAACGAGGAATTGATTAAGGCCATTCGAGATTGGCCAAACCCTAAAACGGTCGGAGAGATCTGAAGTTTTCACGGCCTAGCCAGTTTCTATAGGCGATTTGTTCAGGATTTCAGCACCATTGCGCACTACTAACCGAGGTCATCAAGAAGGATATGGGCTTCAAGTGGGAACAAGCTCAAGAGGATGCATTCCAGCTGCTAAAACTCAAGCTTACTCACACCCCTTTACTTATTTTACCAGATTTTCTCAAAACTTTCAAGATTGAATGTGATGCTTCTGGTGTAGGTCTAGGAGCCGTACTGATGCAGGAAAAGAAGTCGATTGCTTTCTTTAGTGAGAAGCTTGGTGGAGCCACGCTGAACTATCCGACTTATGATAAAGAGTTTTATGCCTTAGTCTGTGCATTTCAGACCAGGCAGCACTATCTCTGGCCGAAATAATTTGTGATCCACACCAACCATCAGTCTCTCAAACACCTTAAGGGACAACTGAAGCTGAACAAGAGGCATGCTCGGTGGGTAGAGTTCATAGAGATGTTCCCTTACGTAATCCAGTACAAACAATGCAAAGAGAATGTGGTGGCCGATGCCTTGTCCCGACGCTATGCATTGATTTCAACTCTTGACGCCAAGATCCTTGGGTTTGAAATGATCAAGGACGCCTATGCCACCGATGGTAGTCTTTCTTTCTTTCAGGAAGTCTTTCTTTCGTGTGAAAAATTCACATATGGCAAATATTTCTGAAATGAAGGATTTTTGTTTTATGAGAACCGACTATGCATCCCTAACTCTTCATTGCGAGAAAAGCTTATCAGGGAAGCACATAGTGACGGCTTAATGGGACATTTTGGTGTGGCCAAGACCTTTCACATCTTTCAGGACCACTTCTTCTGGCCTCATATGAAACGCGATGTGGTACGGATCTGCGGCCGATGTACTACTTGTAAGTTTGCTAAGTCCAAAAGCCAAAATCAAGGTCTTTATTCCTCTTTACCCATTCTTACCAAACTATGGACATACATTTTGATGGATTTTGTTTTAAGTTTGCCTAGGACTCGGAAAGGAAGTGATTCGGTCTTTGTTGTGGTAGATAAGTTCTCGAAAATGGCCCATTTCATACCTTGCCATAAAACCGATGATGCATCGAAGATAGCAAATTTGTTCTTTAGGGAAATTGTTTGTTTGCATGGAATACCTAGGACCATAGTCTCGGATAGAGATACCAAAATTTTGAGTTACTTTAGGAAGACCCTTTGGTCTAAGTTAGGAACAAAACTTTGTTTTTCTACTACTTGTCACCCGCAATCAGATGGTCAGACCGATGTGGTTAATAGGACTCTTTCCACACTTTTGTGTGCTGTGATTAGGAAGAACATTAAGTCTTGGGAAGATTGCTTGCCTCATGTAGAATTCGCCTACAATCATGTTGTGCATTCTACGACCTTATTCTCACATTTCAGCTTGTTTATGGTTTTAATCCACTTACGCCTCTTGATCTAGCTCCTTTACCTTTGAGTGAGCGTGTAATCATGGATGGTAAGAAAAAAGCCGAGCTGGTCAAGCAGATGCACGAGAAAGCAAAGCAGAACATTGAACACAAGACGGAGCTATACCGCAAGCATGCAAACAAGGGCCGGAGCGAGAAGATATTTGAACCAGGCGACCTTGTGTGGATTTACTTGAGAAAAGAACAATTTCAGGAGGAAAGAAAGTCCAAACTCTTGTCCAAAGTGGACGGACCATTCACTGTCTTGGAGCGGATCAACAACAATGCCTACAAGATTGATCTCCAAGGTAAGTATGTTGTGAGTTCTAGTTTTAATGTGGCTGACATCATTCCTTTTGTTCCAGATGGACCAGACTTGAGGACAAATCCTTTTCAAGGGGGGGGGGATGATGTGATCATGGAATCAGAGGCACAAGTGGAGGTTCTGAAATCTGCCTTAGTCGTTCTGGAGGGTCCCTTAACGCGGTCAAAAATCCGGAAGCTTGCTGGAGCTGTTCGGAGTTTGTTTGTAGGAATCAGGAACATGGATGTTCATGGCCGGATCAATGATGAGCAGCTTACACTTGCCATCTTGACCTCAGTATCGTACCAGGAATCGGATTGAGGTTTGGCTGGTGTGTAAGTTCATGGTACTCTTTTTCTTGTGGTCGGTTTTTTCCCAATGAGTTTTCCGGGTGGAGGTTTTAACGAGGCTATGGGCTTACACTCCTTTCTCGGCCTAAACTCATGAAGAATTCCAAGAGTCATCTCGGCTGGCAGTCCAAAAGTCAGTCAACGCAGTTAAGGCAACCGAGGAGTTAGTCCAAACTTTATTTATTTTGGTCTTAGTTTCATTTAATAAAATTGTTTTTACCAAGTATGGCTTTTCGCCTGCTCCTTCCCCTATATAAACGATGTAGAGATTCCAGATCTTAGGGATATTCACTTTTTCCTTAATAAATTTTTTTAGAGAATTTTCTCTTTTGTTCTTCGTGAACTTTTCTTACTATTTGGTGGTTAGCCATTTGATTATTTTGGTTTTTCAAATGTCGTTCATTACACTTGACGCAGCCTTCATCCAGTTGTCTCGTTGGGACGTTCAAGTAGTTATACTTAATCTTTCGTTGTTGTTGCTGTTTTTGTCGGGTTTGTCTTTAATTTTCTTTTTGGTTAATCTGTTATCTTTATAATTTCTGTAATTTCTGTCAAAAAGAGAAAATTAATAATATAATTTTCACATTTTTTTAAAAAAAAAAAACTATAAATCGTTTTAATTTCGGGAAATTGCGCGGCAAGCGTGAAGCAGGGACAAAGTTTTTTTTTTTGTTTTTTTTTTTGTTTTTTTTTGTTTCCGATGGATTTATAAGTCAACGAGTACGGGATTGCTTTTGAGACTTCGTTTTCTTTGTCTATCTGACTATCATTAGCCTTTCAGCGAATTTCAGTATCTACAGACAAAATCTGAGAGCTTTATCACTTTTCTGAATCTGGGTTTTCGCTAGTTTTTGCTAAAATTTTGTAACAAGGATGAACAAGACGGTTGAATTGGGACTAGGTGCTGGTGTGGGAGCTTTAGCCTCTGAGCTCCTGAAATTGCTGATTGCGGAGGCGAAGATGGTGTTGACGTTCAAATCTGTGTATAACGATCTCGCGTCGAAGATGGAAGAATTGCGTCCAACAATCGAAGAGATCGAAAAGTTGCAAAAAGTGGAGGAACTAAAGAATCTCAAGGACACGATCATCAAAGCTCGTGTACTGGTTGAGAAATGTTCACGCGTCCAGCGATGGAACTGTTTCTTGAAATCTTATTACAACAGGAAAATCGTGGGAATCAATAAGAAGATGAAAAACTTCTGTCAGGTTCAGATGCAGATTCTTCAATTCAGGAACCAGTTGCAGATTGATAAAAATATCGATCTTTTGATTGCTCCTGGACCGCACGTTTACAGGGATCTTTGTTCGGTTGCAAAGCTTGATATAGTTCCTGTTGGTTTGGATTGGCCATTGATGGAGCTAAAGAAGAGGCTCCTTGACGATTCTGTGGTTAGTCTTTTGGTATCTGCTCCTCCCGGTTGTGGGAAGACCACGCTCGTTACTCAGCTTTATCACGACCAAGACATCAGAGGTTTCCATCTTAACCATAACCATATATGCATACATGTCTTAAAGTTTCAATCTTTACACCTTAACTGTATCTCTTGTTCCTAATCTGTGGCAGGAAAGTTCAAGCATATCTTCTTTAATGTTGTGTCAAGTACTCCTAACTTTAGGGGAATAGTACAGGACTTATTCCAGCACAATGGTTACCAAGCACTTACATTTCAGAATGATGCTCAAGCACTTGATGGCTTGAAGAAACTGCTGGAGAAACTCAAAGAAGATGGTCAGATATTGTTGGTATTGGATGATGTGTGGCCTGGAGGGGAGTCCTTGCTTGAGAAATTCCGAGGTTATAAGATTCTTGTGACCTCGCGGTATGACTTTCCGAGTTTCGACTTCACTTATCATTTGCAACCTTTGAAAGATAAAGATGCTAGGTCCCTTCTCATTAAGTGGGCACTGCCGCCTCACCACACAGTCACAGATGAGTATGAACATCTTTTCGAAAAGGTAATTAGTTTTTATCTCTATGGTAATCTAAGCTTTTGGTTGTCTTTTTAAAAGGAAGCAACAAGATTCATCTTCTTTCTTTGTTTTTCACATGGTGCGGAGTGTAGATATTAAAACGCTGCAATGGATTCCCACTTGTAATTGAAGTAGTCGGTGCTTCACTTAAAGGACAAGCTCTACATTTATGGAAGGGCCAAGTGGAAAGCTGGTCTGCAGAGGAAACAATTCTTAGTAACCCTCGTCCTAAAGTGTTACAATGTCTGCAGCCTAGCTTCAATGCCCTGAAACCCTATCTTAAAGAGTGTTTCATGGACATGGGCTCATTTCGTGAAGACCAAAAGATACGTGCTTCGGTAATAGTTGACATATGGGTGGAACTATACGGTAAAGGTAGTAGTCTCCTGTACATGAAATACCTCAATGACCTTGCTTCCCAGAATCTGCTTAAACTTATTCCTCTCGGGTATGTTGTTTATGTGTGAACATTGTGTCTTTGCACCTTATTGCCATGTCGATCATTTGATGAAATTTTTTTATTTATACTTACCAGGAGTAATGAGCACAAAGACGGATTCTACAATGAGCTGTTAGTCACTCAACATGATCTCCTGAGGGAGTTAGCTATCAATCAAAGCGAATCTGGAGAGTTCTTGGAAAGAAAAAAAGTAAATTTGGTGATACGAGGAGACAACTATCCAAAGTGGTGTTTGAATCTAAAACAGGCTATCAATGCCTGTCTCTTGTCTATCTCTACAGGTATTTCTTTATGGTCCTTTTATCTAAACATTTTAACATAGTGATTATATCTGCTGTTTTTAGAACTATGGCTTTCCTATAACAATGCTTGGTCTTTCTTTTTTTTTTTTGGGTTACAGATGATTCATTTTCATCAAGCTGGGTGGAAATGGATTGCCCCAATGTTGAGGCTTTAGTCCTTAATCTCTCTTCATCAAACTACGCTTTACCAGACTTTATTGCTACAATGAAGAAACTGAAGGTTGTGACTATCATAAACGATGGTCTTAAGCCTGCAAAACTGACCAACTTGTCGTGTCTCAGCTTGTTACCGAACGTGAAACGGATCAGATTGGAGAAAGTTTCAGTCACGTTGTCGGACATTCTCCAATTGCTACTCGACGGTCTCAAAAAGCTATCTTTGGTAATGTGTAGTTTCAATGAGTCTTCCAACGACACGAAAGAAATAGATGTCTCTAAAGCTCTATCGAGTTTACAAGAGATTGACATAGACTATTGTTATGATCTCGATGAGTTACCTTACTGGATCTCTGAAGCTGTTTCATTGCAGACACTTAGCATTACAAACTGTAATAAACTCTCCAAACTTCCAGAAGCTATAGGAAACTTGAGTAAACTAGAAGTGTTGAGGCTGAGTTCTTGTATTAACCTTTCCGAGCTGCCTGAAACCACAGAGAGACTCAGGAATTTGCAGTTTCTGGATATTTCTGATTGCTTAGAATTGAAAAAGTTGCCACTGGAGATTGGTAAGCTGCAGAAACTGAAGAAGATCTCAATGAGGAAGTGTGGAAGATGTATATTGCCGGATTCAGTGAAGTATCTAGAGAATCTGGAAGTGAAATGCGATGAAGAGACTGGGATACTGTGGAGAAGATTCAAACCAGTAATGAAAAATTTGATAGTTCATGAAGAGGAAACAGAACATAACTTGAACTTGCTTCAGATATTTTAAGTTGATTTTTTTTTAATTTGCCGAGAAGTTCGGCATTTGACACTAGTCTTTGTGTGCATGGAGGCAGCCTTTATTCTTTTTGAGAAGAACCTTTTTCCCAAATGGATTCGTCCTAGTTTTTTCCCTGTCTAGAAAATCACCAGTCCAAGAGTCACTTGGTTATATATATTTTCTTTATGAACAATCACTTGGTTATATATATTGATTGAAAAAACATTTTCGTAGATTGCTTGAGCTCTGCTCATGTAATCCAATATTTGGAAACAATGGTGTATGTTTTTTTTTTCTTTTTTTAAAAAAATATATTTTTAACTCGATGCTATACAAAACATTAAGTATTTTGATTAATGTTTGTGTTTTTTTTTCTTTCTAGTACACTACTCATGAATATAATATCTAAAGTACGAATCTATTTTTATTATTGATGGTTTTTGGTTTTGTTTGATTCGGTTTCGGATTTGGTTTTGATTTAGAATGATTTAGTGAAATAGATCCTTAATTTTTTTTTTAAAAACATAGTCTCGTTTTTCGGTCAGGGTTTGATTTTTATTTTCGGTGTTTTAGATTTAGAGAAAATAAATATATTTCAACCCTATTATAAATGGTTTGGTTATCAAATGGTTAATCCGTATTGAACACTACTAATTTTTTGAGGAACTAAAACACTATAGATAAATCTACCAATTATATAATTGGATACCCGAATATTGAAACAAATAATCTTGACGGAAACCAGTAAAAAATTAAAATAGTTCTCAAGTGATATCTTCCAAGTTTTTCCACCTTTGTTCAACTCAACCCAACATATCAGTTTTCATAACCTCAAAATTTGGTAACTGAATAATTCTAATAGTGATTTCATGAAACAAATTAAAGGTTAACAAACACGAAAAAGTTTAATACATCCTCCATGATATTGACTTTGAAACTGTCTTTATGTTTATCGATGGTTTGGTTTTATTTGATACGATTTGATTTCGTTTTGAATCCAAATTTTCAAGAAATAAATCCTTTAATCAAGTGGTGGTGGTGATAGTGGGTGGTTCCTTTCTTTGGTGAGAGTTACTATGTTGGTTTAAGTCAGAGATCGACTCCCCACGGAAGCGGAATTGTAACATTTAATATTTGATCATCAAGACATTTACATTTCACATGGTCTTTTCGGACTCTAGGATTAGTCGATGTTGGAAGAATGATGCGCTGGTCTACAGTCAAAATTAAAAATCCGAAGTTGTGCTGCCGACGATTCTCTAATTCAGCTGGATCACTTGAGTTATATATAAAAAAAGAAATAATAAATTATTTAATATTAAAAAACCAAAAAATTAAATCCTAATTACATAGACAAAGAGAACCAAAATTGGCATCCAATTGATGGCCAATGATACCTTTCATCTTCAAATGCAAGAGCTCTCTTTTATGGAAACCTATAAACCAACATACTTCAAGCTCTCTTTGATGGAAAAAGTGAAGAACTGAGTTAAAATAGGATTGGCATCTTCACTTTTCATGAACACAGAGATGATGATAGTTCTGAAAAATGTCAGCAGCTCATCCTTCATTTGAGGACAGATTTGTAGAATGTTGAATATTGTGGAGCGTCTAACAAAAATACATTCTTTTAAGGGAGCATCTAACAAAAATACATTTTTTGTTAGATACATTGTGGAGCATCTAACAAAGAAAATAACGAAGAAACGTAATTCAGAGACATAGAGATCTTCATCAGTTTTAGTTTTGATAATGTCATTCATCATCCTTAAAGCATTTACAAAATCAAATTCCAATACCTCAAGCTTTTCTTGGTTACACAATCTGAAAAGTTCTGTAAAATTGATTTGAGACAAACTAAATTAAAATAACCCAATCATTTTAAAACGGTTATATAGATTTATTTCTATATCAAAATCTGAAACCCAACACTAAACCGGAACCGAACTCCTAAGCGCAAACATTAATTCTGCAAATCCTAAACAATTCCTCAAATCCTAAACATTTCCGCTCAAACTAAAAAAAAACCTTAAATTGACCCAAAACTGAATGTTTATCCTAAAATCAAAGAATTTACAGGTGAAAGCTACATGTCGAGAACCTCTAGATGTTTACTCTGATGTTGGGTATATCTTGTTCTGGGAATTCATCTGCCAGAGGGCAATTCTCTTAGTCCCAAAAAACCCCAACGATGATGTTTGATCCATAATCAACTTAAACCTGAAAAAAAAAGAAGGAATATTTACATAATTTGGTAAAAGGAATTCTAACAAAACAAAACATCGAAAAATCATTAGTGCAAGAACGGATACATACATTATTTTCTGATTCCATGTAAGAAGAATTCAATACATTATCGAAATGTGTCCCCAAATCAGAAACTGCCAGAACACAAGATCAATAAAATAAGATAAGAATATTTACAAAATTACAAGGAAATAAGCGTAGTAAAAAAAAAAAAATTCAGAAACGGTTGTCTTACATACAATATTGGTGTCATCGCTAACTCTCGATTTGGAATTTTTTTTGCATAAGACCGAGTTATAGATTGGCAACACTCCAGTTGAGTTAGCTTGTTAGAAAAAAGTATGAGGCGATATCTTCTTACTCAGTTCTGAAACTAAATTGAGATGGTCATTTGTAACTCTTTGAGTGTAAAAAATTATAGAATATTTCTCAGCCTTTCTGGAAGTGAAATGAAAACATAACACCAAATTTTCCAAATTATGGCTGAGTTCATAATTGAAAAAATAAGCCATTGAACCAGAAGAGATTTGAGATTGAGAAAAATAAAGTTGAGATCGAGAAAGAGAGAGTTGATATTTGATATCAAACACTAATTCTATAAATCCTAAATACCGGCAAAGGAAGATTAACATTGGCATTAGGAGGATCATCCCGATCATCAATTTTTGCAGTCAACAAAGAAAAAACAATATTTTGGATTTTATTAAAACCAAATACTAAATCTGAACCGAACAAAAAAAAATTATAATCTTAAATAAAAGGTTTTTTAAGGATTTATTTTAAAAATTCAAAATCATACAAAACAAAACTAAACATAAGAAAAAAAGTAACTACATATTTTTTTCAGTTGAACTTAATGATGATGGATTTTTTAACTAATTTTTTTTAGAAATCACATCAGTCAAAACTAGTTTTTTTGGCTGAACACAATTACACAATGATGATGGATTACAAAAGTAAGAGAACCAAGAAAAAAATATGGTGTGCACAAAAGATGAACCTAAATAAGAAATAGTACATAGACTTAGTAAAAATTTACATTCTTAATCTAAAAAACAGAGAGTTTAGCTGTGATTGAGAATATTTTCCTTTTAAATGAAAACTGCTGAGAATGTGTTTTTTTTTTTTTTTTTTTTTTTTGCTAACAAGAAAAACAGATACTTGTTGTTATTAACAATGCTAAATGTTGTTCTATTATTGATGTCTTGATAGTTTAGTTTTGTTCGATATGATTTTGATTTGGTTTTGATTTGAAATTTAGATTAATAAATCCTTATAAACTTTAGGAGTACGAAGATCTCAAACAGTTTTTAACTGAACTCTTCAATCAAAAAAAAATTTGAGGGGTACTTGATCCCAATATGTTTATTGGGATGATCAAATGAATAGGATATGTTAAACACCTAGATGATACTTCATCCAAGTTTTTATGTCACAATATCAAAGAATCTAGTTATCTCCAAATATGGAAAAAACTAAATATTAATTTTAGTTTACGTCAAAAATATCAATTATCTTTTTGATTAAAAAGTTAGTAAAATTTGTAAACATGCAGTACACTGATAAGAGATGATTTTGCTATTCTAATGCAAAATTCCAATGGTCAGTTGGTCACCAACAAAAATAATTGATATTTTAACTTTGTATTAAACTTTACACTGTATGTTTAACTTTAGACTTTCTGTATCTAATGTTATCATTTTTTAAATACACAATAAATATGTTTAATCTTTTTTATTTATAATTGGATTTTTTATATAATTTTGTATAAAGAAATTTTGGGTAATTTTAGATAAGATTTTGGTAATTTGGATATATATATATATATATTTATTTTTTTTTAAATAAAGTAGAGATGTTCGGTTTGGTATGCAGTTTTGTTTTTCAAATTTTTGAAGTTCGATTAACAAATATTTTATCATAAAAAAAGTCCACTCTATTATCAATAGTTGATTTTGTTTGATACGGTTTTGATTCAAAATTTAGTTAAAAAATCCTTAAAAAACCATTGGTTAACTCTTTTTTTTTGGTTTGGCTCGGGTTTAATGTTTGGTTTTAGGTTTCGATAAAGAGAAAATATACTACTATCAATTTAACCATTTTTAAATGGTTCGGTATCTCGATTCGGGTTCTTTGTATCAAATCCATTTATCCCTAGCTAGAACTATAAACAATTTTACCAGTTAGATGATTGGCTACGCGAATAAATATAATGGAACCAATAATTGACTGAAACCTGTAAAAATTATTATGTTCTTGCCTATATTTGCTGAAGTTGTTCCACCTTTTGTCAATTCAACCCAACAATTGTTTATCGTCACCTCAAAATATGGTTAACTGATTAATTCTAATAGTGAATTATTAATCAAAAGGTTACCAAACACGAAAAAGTTTAATACTATTATTGACTTTGAAACAGTGTTTATGTTTATACGATTTGATCGGATTTTTGACAAATTTACACAACTGAGAATCTGATGAGATCTTTTTCGTGTATTTGCGATTTCAACTGTTTTTTTTTCTTCTACAAATCGATAATGAAGAAATACAAAGAGATAATAGTAGAATCACTACAAAGTTATAATTTACAGATCCAAAATCTACAAAGACCTTCACGCCCAAGTCACCGAGATCAACGAGTTCGCGAGCCCAGATTGTTCGAAAGTGGTGTTAGATCCGTAACAAAGAGTCTTGTATTCACCAGGAAACGCTTGAATCAGCTTGAAAGGCTTGATCCTCTCCGATTGATCAATCTGGGAATAGCAAAACGACCAGAGAAGCTGAACCGATTCCGATTTGAGGAAACTTCTCTGAACTCTTCTCCCGTCGGGTAATCGAACGCAGAGTCTGCACAAAACGCTCCGATCCGAATCGCTATTATTTGGCTCTTCGGGCAATTCTGGGAATCCGATAAAAGCGTTTGAAATTAAACACATAGTGGTGCTTTCGGTCGCTGCTGCTGATGCTGCGTCAGACCAGCGTTTCGGGCGTTTGATATCCACGAACGGCGATAAATTCTCCAGCAAGGATTGACATTCGAGCATCGTGAATAATCTTTTCGTCATTGATCGGAATCGATTCCTGCTGGTTTCGGAGGAAATTAGGAAGATAACCTAATTTTCTCAGAGTGGATTTTGCGATTCAATAGCAGCTTCTCGGTTAATTTATAGAGAGGCGTGTAGAGAGATAGAGAGAGAGTTTCCTTTTCCTTGATAATAGATTTTTATTTGGTCCCAAAAAAATATATTATTCATAGAGATATTTCGGCGTTTTTTTTTGTTGTTTTTCATAATTTGATAGCATAAAAGTAAAACTACGTAACAGTTTTCCTATTTTATTTTTTTAAATGCGCAGAGTAGATTATGAGGAATTTACCAAATACTATTATTGATCATAAAAATGAGATTTGCTTCTCTATAAAATCCTCAACTCCTGAATTTAGTATCTTTCTTCGAATATCAAATAAAAATAGATGAAGTTTATGCAGTAATATTTTAAATAATCTATGGATCATTTTCTAATAAAAAAAAATTAAAATTGCGAAAAGAGCCAAAGTAGTTCATGAAAACAAAAACTTAAGTTGGAAATTTGAGAAACGAAATCTCTTTTTTTAGTGAAGATATTGACCCCGATCAAAGAGGTAATAAAAGATAGTGAAAGAGAGAGAGTTTCCTTTTCCTTGATCATAGATATATTTATAGATTTTTTTTGGGTTTTTCATAATTTGATAGCACAAAACTATACGTAACAGTTTTTTTTTTAATTGTAATTTTTTGTCACATTTTAATTGTAATTTTAAAATGCTCAGAGAGAAGATTATGCGAAATTTACCAAATACTATTGATCATAAAATTGAGTTTTGCTTCTCTACAAATCCTCAATTTAGTATCTTTCTTAGCCTATCAAGTAAAGATAGATGAAGTTTAACGGGAGAATTGGTTTTATTTTCTTTTCAAAATTTAAAACTGCTAAAGGAGTCACAGAAGAACTTAATTTGGAAATCTGAGAAACGAAATATATATTTTTTTGGGTGGAGAAAACATTGATTTCGATCAAAGAAGAAGTTTTGACAAACTTTTGCCATCCAATTCCAAATAAAGATAATGAGAAAGGGAAAGTTTTGCCACAATAACTTTTTTTTTTAAAAATAATGATGAACAAAAGGCATCACAGACTAATCTCATAACATGGTAACATACTTCAAAAGCCCTATAGACAGTAGAGAGTAGAGACAGAAACCAACTGTTTATACTTTTGTTTCTCCTTATTTTCATTTTATGAAACAAATAGCTAACATGATCACTTAAAGAGAGAGCATGGATCAATCATTTGACATAAGTCACAAACCAATCAAGCATCTCCTTGTGAGCTTCTTCTGCAGCTTTAACCGCCTCTGGATCATCAGTGTTGTACCTAACTGTCCATCCGTGCGCGACTTTCGGGTATATCTTCACACAACTATTCACCTACAGAGCCAGTTTACAGTTAGGTTTCTTCTTCTTTCTCAGCTATCTTAAGTTGCAGAAAAGCAGGCTTTACCTCGGATTTGGAAGCAAGAATCTCCTCAAACTGCTTCAAGAGTGATGGTGGAGACAAATTATCAAACTCAGCTCCTAATATAGCAATTGGAACCTTCCCACCTGCAGGAAACCGTGAAAGTCGATTAAGGTGTTCTAATCAAAGACCTGTATAAGTATCAGCAACTAGACCAATCACAGTGTGTCTAAGTTTATGTGAGCAATCAAGATGGAATTATATTAAAGTCACTTACCCTTGATATCATCAACAGAGACAAAAGAAGGATGAAGCAAAACAGCTGCTTGAATAAGCTCTTGCTTAGACAATTCCACCACCACTTTTGCTGAAGATCAACAGCACAAGAGAGAAAAAGAAATACGCATTAGACATTTCCAGGAAATACTAGTGATAGAGAGTGACAATTTCTCGGCTTAGTAAAATTGGGAGAAAGTATAGTTCAAGACAATAGAGAAAAACACTCACCACCCCAACACATCCCTGCAGCTCCAATGGCGGTTATGCCTTTGTTCTTTATGGCTTCAAGTACTGGCTTTGTGTCTTGAAAGCCTTTATCCTGGAAAAAGAGAACATGGAATTTCAGGTGGGATTTATCAAAACAACAGAAGAAGAAGGCATAACACCTAGTGGAACTTGTGAACAACGATGTTACAGTAGAACAAAAACTGCAAGAAAATGTTGAGAATGTAGAGGGAAAACTGTATTTAAGGAGGAAGACGAACAGGGCCATGGTCTTTGATCCAGACAGGAACTTGTCTCTCCTGGTTAGAGGGATTATAAGGATCTCCATAGAAGTAATCAGGAACCACAACATAGAATCCAGAAGCTGCAACCTTATCCGCAAGCGCCCTTTAACATAAAAATAAGTTTTTTTTCACTCCATAAACACTGACTTTAGCAACAAAGAAAAGAACTTGCAGCTCAGATCATCCAATGAAATCAGATAAGAAATAATTTCGAATTAGACAAACCAATCAAAGATTACACCTTTTACAAAAATTGAGATTTAACTCATATGTAGCTACTGAAAACCATACACTTACTCTGAATTTGAAGCAACAAAACCCAAATCAACAAAAGATTCCATTTTCAATAGTCGAATCGATGAAGAGGGAAGAAGTAATATAATACCTCAAGTTTGGAGCTTCGTACCCTGTGAAGATTATGAACGAAGCTAAAGTCAGAATACAGTGATGAAATGATCAAATAAAAAAAGGGGTCCAAATCAAAAACCATTGTTACTCGATCATGTCTTTGACTAAAAGCAAACGACTTTAATATCAGAGCAAAGAAGAAGAAGTATGATTTACCAAAAATATCAGAAATGAGGAGGATGCACAACTTGGAATCGAGAGAACCGGAGACGTAGGCATCGAGTCCACCCAGCTTCTCGACATGACCCGACCCGGAAACCGGGTTAAGAGCCGGCGGGTTTTCGCAGCACTGAGGTCCCGACATTTGTTTGTTCAGAGAGACAGGAGAAACACAAACTCAATCATACGTTTTTTTTGTTGTGCCTTATTAAATATCGCTGGTTCTCGTGTCATGATCTTACGGTTACTAATAGGTCTTGTGCTTTAATGTCAGGAAACATCCAACGGTCTAGAATTAGTAATCGATCTCAAAATTCTCTGCAAAAAAAGAATCTGTGGAAGAAAACGATTATTTTCTTCCAATTTTTTTACTTTATTCATAAACATCTCAAGTTAACGGCGACATTTATTGTAGAGATTCGTAAAAGAATCGACAAATTGTTATGAAGCAAACGCAGCCACATGTGACTTGTGTAAGCTCTTGCGTAGACAGTTATGCTGAGATTATTAAACACAAGAGACATAATTGAGAGACAGCCATAATGGATTAAATATGTTTCAAAAACATTTGATTAGCTCCATTGTTACAACAAGAACTGAGTTTGTGCTCTCGAATCCCTTATTCTTGACAAATGAAACCAACAAATCATAAGATTAAACACATGATGTTCTTTTGAGGTTATTAACCCAAAAAAGACAAGGGTTAAGTTACAGACTTTTATCATCTTCCTGCAAAACATTAAGTCTCTCCCTCTCTCTCTCTCAGCAAAATGTACAGCAACATTATAGGAATGTTTCCATTATCTTTCATGGAATATTTCCCACCTGTAAATATATTACAACGCAGAACCTCTATGTCGGCTAATTCCTTTTAAATAAAACTGTATTCTTTCTTTTTAGTTACTCCGATTATATTCAGCAGGTACAGTTTAGTTTAGAGTTGCCAAAACACTTAGCTTTGTGTTTGACAACTTTGACGTTGTGGGAGAATCTACGGCTTCTAGGGGACATGTGAACTCTGTCCATCATGTTGATCTTAGGAGCATCAAGAATTGCCTTTGGCAGCGATAATGCCCATTGCATTCCCCATATTGCGAGCGGTCTCATGTATATCAATGACCGGTAATGCCCATCCATTGTCCAACCTTCCGGTGTCTGGAACCAATATCTGTATCCAGTCCAAACTTGTCAAGTCAAAGAAACCTCCAAAAAAACTAACACACACCTCAACAATCAAAGTCTAAACCAACTAGCAACACCATTTAATATTTTCTAACATTTTGACCTTCTGTATAGATTCCTATACATAAATTCTTCCACTATACGAGTATTTCACTATAGTAGTTGTTTTAATTCTTGGAGATATCCTGTTCTCGCCGCATCATCATTATTACCATACTCATTTTTTTTCATTCTTATGTATATTTATTACTACTTTCCAATGTTTAGTAGGTAACCAGTGTCATTTTGAAACGTCTATCTATGTTTCTGTGTGTGTGTGATACGGATAACATTTGACAGACTGGATAAACTTACCCGAAACCTTCTTCTGACCAGCCAGCTGTGAAAATTCCCTCAGCGGTAGTGAACCCTTGTTCTTCCATTCCAGAGAGGATCATAGTAGCTGCAGCTGCATAAGTGACACCTGTCCATATCTCACGCGACTGCATGCATGTCTCATCCACCTTCCCATCAGGATGCATCCCATTTACAGCACCCATTCTGCCTCCTTTGGTCTTCATCACATTGAAATCAAAGATCTTTTGCAAACTGCTTCTGATTTTGGATTCCTCAAAAATTGGAGGCAGGCCTGAAGATGCCGTATACCATTGACCCGCCAGCTGATCAGTCTGTATGGATTTGCTGTTGCTGCTCGCTCCACTGTCATAATTGAGGTACGATCCGTTCCATAGTTTCGTTTCCAGTGCTGCCTTTGCATTCAAAAACTTATTCTTACACAATTCTGCAAAGAACTTATCACCGATTTGAAGAGCCATTGCCGCTGCAGCTTGAAGAGCCGCAAGCCACAGGCAACCGCAGTATGCACTCACACCATGAACGGTCCACGTATCATATGTCTGATCTGGGAAACCGTCATTCTCTATTAGATCGTCATTGTCTCTATCAAATTGTTCCATGTACTCCATAGCAGCACGAACTGCGGGCCAAACGTCTATTCCAAATTGGTAATCCCCTGTAGCTGCAAAATCTCTATACACCTGAAGCACAAACTTTGGGTTGAGATCCTTCCACTTGCTTGTGTCATGTATGTTGTAAGCATTCATTTCGTTCCATGGATCATGCATCCCTAGATCGTGAGGAACAGCGCCTCTGACCTTGCGAATTCCCCAATTTCCTTCTGCTAGGAACTTAACCTTTCTCCCATCTTCAGACAACACAGCTTTAGCAAAATCCCGCTGAATATTCAGTTCGATCTTTGGGAATAGCATAAGAAGCGCATACGATGCGTAAAAGTGCACATCATATGTGTTCCACATCACATATTCCACGCCTTCCAAGTACAGAAACCGGCCAACATCATCGTCATCATCTACGTGCCTAGTGTCGACAAATAAACCATTCTTCTGGTGAATAACTGATGCTTCCCCATTGCTTTTTATTCCATTGCTGTCGCAATCATTAAGGTTATTCTGCTGGTCTTTACTGTCAACTCCACTTGCTTTACCATCTGGATTTCTTGAATTCGATTGTTGAAGCTGACTATCCCCATTGGCATGGAGTGATGCAGAGTCTGCAACCGAAAATGTATGAGACAGGCAACAAAATTTTCAATCACAGAGACAATTTTATACTCAAAATTTGCATTTGAAGCATATACTGTAGATGTGTACCTATCCAGACTGTACCACCGGCTACCAAAAAGTAAAGCTCATTGAACAGAGTGAACTTGTACCTACAAATAGCAAAAACAGTTCAAAAATTATTATTAAACGTTATCCATAATGAAATACATGAAATAATATTAAAAGTTACTCAGAAAGTAACTGCAACGCTTTGAGTATACAAAGAAGCAGTTACCACTCAGGGAGTCTGTCATCTCCAAGAATAGGATTTTGCCATGCTTCAATATCTCCCTCCCATCTCTTATAATCTGAATTTGAAAACCAAAGCTAGTCACTAATACATAAGCACCATTCTGTGTATGTGTAGTAAGTTTCAATTAACAGCAGTATGAGGTATACATCCGAACAAAACAGAGTCAACTCAAGTGGAGCATAAGACGCAAAGACATTGAGACCACAGGTACATACGTGTTAGTGCATCATGCACAAGGTCTAGAGCTGCTCTTGGCGAAGTTCCATAATATTTAGTGTACCTCCTGCAGACCAAAGACAGAGAATGACAGAAAATAGAGCTCAGATAATCATCAGCGTTTGACATAAATAGTACTTGATATCTTATATCTAAAAGGCATGTTCTTCATACACTCAATTCAACCACAATGTTTAGCTTTGTTAACCAACTGATACCAGAAAGGGGATATTCAGCCATTCAGGCATTCTCTTCACTTTTAGTTTGCTGAAGTGGCAACCTACATTTGCTTGCGCACTTTTAAAGTATAATAACTAGTGTTCCTAGCTCTCAGATTCAGTCTTTTGGTCGAAATTAATCAAATGAATAAAACACATGGCTGAGAGCGTTAACAAAATTTAAAAGGAGATCCAGCATCAATGAGAAAATGTAAACTATATGGTACATAAAAAACTGACGCAATGGAAAGGAGAAGTGGCCATTTTCATGACAACAATACGAAATTAGGTTGGTGACAATAATTGAAAAGTAAACAACTTTATCTCTCGATTTTAGGAAGAGACCACAAATGTTGTACTTTATTTACCTATCATATGTGCTTCCCTTTGAAAATTTCACTTTTGGTGATGACCACGAAAGAGCAAAAGATACAGTGCACCTGCCATGAGCCTCTACCCATGCTGAAGCTGAGACAGCTGCACAAATAGTATCTCCAGCTGATGAAGGCATACTCGGCCCACTATTGAAGTTTGCTTGATCAAATTTCCCATCCTTTTAAAAGGAATATCTGAATGTCAGTCCCTTTAGAAATTATAACAATTACTCCAGATATATGAAACAGACGTTCTTATATGACTTGACACTTGACAGTTCAGGAAAAAAAAAAATCAATTATAGAGTCAATAGCATGTTTCGGCCAAGTATGAAATATGCAGTCTGCAAACGACGATGCAAAGAATTTTCACCTTTTCCATCATATCCCACATATCCTTTGCTGTCATAGAACTATCTTCAGACAATCCAAAGCATGGTAAAACAGTCACATTCACATTCTGAGTCTCACAAGCAGAGATCGCAAATGTAACAGGAGGGTTACCCTTGCCTGTCCTGAAAATTTATCACATATTAAAAAAATTATATATATAGTTTCGCTTACAGAAAAAAAAAACACAACCTTCTAATGTAACAAGTTTATATTCTACCAAATCAACTTCATCCATGGACCATGTAAATAGATAAGCCGGAAAACAATGTCAAACACTCAAACAGCGATAAATAGTGTAAATTGTTTAGCAAGAGAATTTATTTGGAGATCCTTCCTTTAGGCAGTGAGTCAGGATAACGCGCCCATCATTAAATTAATAGTCTAAATGCAACAGATCGGGCCTTCACACGTGGAGAAAAGTCTATCTAGGGAACATTTTCCTGATAAAAGTGAACGGGAAACTTCTCGCTCAACTAGTTGTGTTCTCTAGGTAATCTAGGTAATGTGCATTTACTATTGACTAACAAGGTGTCTTTAGTCGGTGAATTTGTCCAGTGATGAGTTGGTACAATCATATCTTTTGTTTGTTCATCGGATCAGTTATTTGCACACTTCAACTGTAAGGAATGGAACTGCTTTTAACAAATAACACTTCAGGTACTACCATCTTCCTAATCGTTCTCCATTAAACCATTAAGAAAGAATGGCAATGTGGACCACACCTTTCAAAGCATTGAATCTAACACGAAATATATGCAAACCAATAGTAGTTTATAGCTATTAAGGAAATATGTCGTACTTGTGATGTAAGAGGACACCGGAGACCCCATCTTCACCACTGCAAGGAAAAACGAACCAAACGAAAAATTACACATTGGCTTAAAGCCATAATCACTTATGGAAAAGATGTCGCATATTTCTGCTTACATGAATGGCTCATTCACATGACCCCCTGACATATGCGAAGTCCCACCAATTGA